TGGGGGGCGAAAAAAGGATTGTCCCCTTGGGGGTAAAAAGGGATGGGGCCCCCAAAGAAAACCCCCCCCCCCCCCCAAGAGAGATTAGGGGGAGGGGAAAGAAAGGGAGGGGGGAACCCCAGGACGAAAAGGGAGGGGAAAATGGACCCACCCTCCCCCCCCCCCGCACCCCCAAACTCAGCCAGCACCGCCCCAAAAGCATTTTGGGACCCCAGGGGGGTGGGGGCCGGCTTCCCCCTTATCCTTATGAAAAGGCCGGAACACCCTGGGGGGGGAAGAAAAAAAAAAAGGGGGCGTGATATTTTTAAATAACTATTAAATCAGGGGCTGTATGTATCAAGTGTCTCAAGTAAAGGGCCTGGATATTTACCTTTAATCCAAAAGAAATTTGGGCCTGATCCCGGATCAGCCCTCCCACGAGACGCTGAACAGACCCCCGATAGGATAGGCCCCAGGATTTTTAAAAAAAAGAAAAAAAAGGGGTAAAACCCGAAAAGACCCAGGGACTAATGAAAAGGGGCCCGATAAAACGGGCCCAGGTATCTAATGTATAAAGACCACTGATAGTATCAGACCCCAGGTATCTAATGTATAAAGACCACTGAATTTAACCCCCCCAAAAAAAACCCGTGACGACCCCCTTTTAAAGTTCCCTTTTATCCCCCCCCTTTTTTAAAAAACCCTTTTCCCCCCCCCTACTAATTTAAAAACCCGATAGCCCCCGTTTAAAAATAAAAACAGAGAACGACCCCCTTTAAATTTAAAACCCAAAAAACCCCCAAAAAAAAAAAAAAGAAAATTAAAATTAAATTTATAAAAAAAAAACCCCATTTTTTTAAAAAAAAAAAATTTTTTTCCACCCCTTTCCCCGTAAAACCACTAGTATAGACCCATATTAATGTTAAAAACCACAATAAACCCCAGGACAAATTTAAAGCCAGATTTTCCCCCAGGTTCAATGTTAAAAACCCATAGACAACCCCAGGTTTTTGAAAACCCTGATAGTCAGACCCCCGGGTTAAAAACCCCTGAAAAGAAAGGTTCAATGAAAAACCCTGAAGTATCAACCCCCGACATGTAAAAAAATTTATCCCCCCGGTTCTATTTGACATTATCGCCCCCCGGGATCAATGTTAAAAAACCTTTTTCAAAACCCCCGGTACAATTAAAAAGACCAGGGTTCCCCCCCCAATTAAAAGAACGAATAACCCCCAAAAAAAAGCCCTGTAAATAAACCCCCCCATTTTTTAAAAAAATTGTATCAGAAGGTACTAATGTTAAAGCCATTGGTTAAAAAAGGGGATTAATTTTAAAAAATGATGTTTCCCCCCCCTTTTTTTAAAAACCAGTAGGGTTTAGCCCCAGGAAAATGGGAAAAAACCCCGTGTTTTTTGGGGAAAAACCCTTTTTGAATTTTTTTTTTTTTTTTTTCCCCCCTTTTCCCCCCTTTTCCTTTCTTTTTTCTTTTCCCCTTCCACTCTCTTCCCGGGCTTTTTTTCTTTTTTTTTAATTTTTTCTTTTTTGGGTTTCTCCCTTCCCTTTTTCCTTTTCCCCCCCTTTTCCCCCCCCTTCCCCTAATTTTATTTAAACTCCCCGCCCCCAAATTTTTACCCGTAGAGAATGGAAAATTTTCAAAACTTTCCCCCCGAAAAAAACCCCCCCAAAAAACCACACAACCCTGAAGTGCCTGGGAAAAAAAAACCGCCCCCGCCAAAACATTTAAAGGGGCAAAAAAAATTTCCTTTTCCCCCCCCTTTCCCCCCCTTCCTTTTTTTAATCGAAAAATGAAGAACGAGAAGAAACCCCACTGCCCCGAAATTTTTCCCCGGGGGAAACCCCTTTAGGGGCCCTGTTGACCCAGGAAAAGGTGGGGTTCCCCCCCTTCCTTAGGGCCCGCCCGGGGGGGCGGGCCCCCCCCCAAAAGGCCTTAGGGCCCTTTTTGAAAGGGGGGGAGGGGGAAGGAAAAAAAAAGGGGTTTTTCTTAAAAAAATAAATTCCAAAATTGTTTAAAAAATATTAAAAGTTTCCCCACCTTTTCTTTTGTTAAACCCAGGTTTTGCCTTGTTCCCAGCTCATTTTTTAATTTACCCTTTTTCAGAGTGGAAGTTTTTGGGGGGAACATTTTAAAAGGGAGGAAAAGGTAAAAACCCTTTAAAAAAATCTTTAAAATTTTCCCCCTGGTTTTTTTTAAACACCCCTTTTTTTTTGGTACAAATCCGCTAACAAAAGAGCCTATAACGATAAACAATTGGTAGTAAAACGTTTTAATCTCGCCCGTAAAAAACGAGGCCTCCTCTCTGGATCCAAGCCTCAAACTTTCCTGCGAGCCGTGGCCCGCTCCCAACGACACAGTTCGCCGTTGACGCTAGTTAGCATGCTAACTGTTAGCTTACCTTGGTTTTTGACAGAGCAGTCTTCTCGCTGGTCCTTTATTTATTTATTTATTTATTCGGAAACGATAGATTGATGATGACGTTGGGGGAGACAGCGGAACGGACTTGAATTCGCGGACTCTGGGCAGTCGACACGAATCCGTCCAGGAATGTCGGGAGTCGAACCAAGGAAGCTTAGCTTCCAGCTACATTCAGATGGGATGGGGATGTCAGCCAAGCCGGAGACAGTCGCCTATTTGTTTCTGTTGTTGAAGGCGGCCCCTAGCGGCACCTATTCGGCTAATGAACCGAGCCTTGGCAGAATGGGGGGGATGCACCGAGGAGCTGTGGTTTGGCTCGTTTACTGTCGTAACAAAATTATTCAACCAGTTTGATACCTTGAAGTGAAATAAACTGTCAAGACTACAACACTCATTTTGAATCGTCACTATTGTATTGATTAGACTAAAGTGGTTTGAAGCCCTAGTTCAAAGCCTACAATATGTTGAAATATCTATTCTGTTTTTCAGAGTGGAGGAGTCATCATTGGAAAAACGGATGTCAAAAGCTTTCCAGACAGGAAAAGTTGAGGATTCAATTTATTTTAATTTCCCCCATCATTTAATACTGACACACACTGGCATCAAATAGTCTACAACAATGAACTCCTACTGTGCTCAAATTGGTGTATTGCTGACTAGTGCCCTGTTCTGTCAGGTTTCTGAACTGAACTCTTTCGTCCTTTCTCCTCATTGCAGATATTGGTTTTGACAGATGTACTTGCTGCTTCACAATCAAGGACTCACCAGGCTTTGGGGGAGGGGGTGGTAGAAGTTAGGGATTTATTTGGTTTAGAATTTTATTTCCATGGTAGTACAGAATTGGGCAGATCATGAGTGATCGTACATTCCAGCACAGTAGTTGCCGGCATGCACTTAAACGATTTGTTTGTGGACCGCCATGATGTCATAGAAGAAGAAGAAGAAGAAGAAGAAGAAATAAATGAGAATAAAATGATCCTGACACCATCTAAAATATAACACGTGTGGCACTCTCAATTTGAATGGGCCTTGAGAATAATATTTATTTCTCGCATAGAACGCACAACAAAAAGCTGACTAGGTAAATGGGGGGGTAAACTATTCTACTATGGGTTTATCTGATCTTGCTGTTCGTTACTCTTCTTGTTGGCAGAGGAAAGGTAACCTCCATTAACCACTTAAAAAATGGCTACATTTGTTCCAAACAGTAAAATCATGTGACCAACAGAAAATGCTATGCATGTTTACATGAAACGGACATTTTTCATTATATAACTTAATTAAAACATGCGACAATAGCAAGGCTGTTGTCTCACAGCCATGAAACTATATTATTGAACATGCAAATATCGTAAGCAGCTAATGTAAAACATCATTTTCAAACATTTGCCCAATGCAATTAGCTGGAAAACACCTTTCTCATTAGCGCACCTGGGGGCCGATTCAGACTTAGAAATATATTCATAAAAAATAAATAAAAAAGTGTTTTAACTTAAGCACTTCTCAGTAGCCTAGCCGGTATACAACAATTATTTATGCAGGTGCGTAACCTGGCAGGTTAGATTTTCCTCATACATTACACGGGCCGTGTCCGAATACCCCGGGCCCATGTTTAGTTGCCAAAACGTTCCACATGTTCAGCAGGACGCAATGTTTTGGAACGTTCAAATAGAAATAGTCTCTGTCACTAGAACAAACATGGCCTCTCTGACGTTTAGAACGAACGCCGTGCTCTAAGAATAAAGGAATGACGTCGAATCGCGCCCCTGTACTTGCGTTCTAAATAGTCGGCTTTTAGGGTATGCAAAAATTTTAATAGTATGTGCAATTTCGAAAAACGTTTTATGCTTTAAAATGCCAGGATGTCATATATCATTTGGGCTTTATGTCCTCTAGTAAAATTCACTATTGAGCACGTGGACGTCCCCCTGCCAGGGGAAGCCCTCTCCAGTGGATGTTGAGCTAAAACGAGCAGGACGTACTGCATAGCGACCTGGATGTCTTGGGGAGAGCATCCAGCTCAGAGTTCCATCCAGTATCCAGCTCAGAGTTATATCCAGCTTCCATAGGGCCCAGAGTTCTTCCTGTTGTTGCCCCTAGCGACTGAGAGGAATGTCAGGTAGTGATATGGCCCAGAGTTGTTCCTGTTGTTGCCCCTAGCGACTGAGAGGAATGTCAGGTAGTGATATGGCCCAGAGTTGTTCCTGTGTCAGACAAAAAGGAAAACTCTGCCAGGCCCTAAAGAAATCCTGGAACAGTATCCACTCTCATCATTTAAAAAATAACGTATGCACTCACTAACTGTAAGTCGCTCTGGATAAGACTAAAAATGTAAGTAAGAACAACGGCTAGGTGTGGTCCCGTGTCAGAGTTCGCTAGGAGAGAAGAGGCAGGAAGAGCTGGTTCTAGAACAGTGCTTTGGGGCTTGAGGCCCCTAGCTAGAAGTTTCACTCAAACAGATAAACTGATTTTAGATCAGTAATAGGGACTACTTCACCATGCTCCTACCTGAGAACAGTGCTTTGGGGCTTGAGGCCCCTAGCTAGAAGTTTCACTCAAACAGATAAACTGATTGTAGATCAGTAATATGGTCTACTTCACCATGCTCCTACCCGCTCCTGTGGGAGTGGCCAGACCCACCTGTCTGTCAGCTGATTCAGGTGATGAGGTAACTGACCAATGAGGTGACAGGAGCACCAATCAACACCTTAATACGCTCTCTCTGGGCCAGATATTTGGACTACTCTCTCAACAAGGTCTGGGTTAGATATTTGACCATCATGACACTTGTCTTGACTTATTTCCTGGAGGAAAAAGGGCCTCATCAATTACTGTGATCATTTTTGTGGTTTCTCTCTGTCTCTCCTCAGCTGTCCCAAGCTGACCCTGAGTCAGAGGACCATGTCTACCCCCCTCCCACTCCTACAGTGAGACTGAGTCAAGGACAGCTGTCACCCTCCTCCCACTCCTACCCTGAAGTCAGAACCAGTCACCCCTCCCCCTACTCTACCAGTAAGAATGAAGTGGAACATGTCCTATCCCTACTCCTAGGTAAATTCAGAGGAACATGTCTACCCCTCCTCCCTACTTCCTACAGAGACTGAAGTCAGAGGAACATGTCCTACCCTCCCCTACTTCTACCTAGACTGAAGCAGGGAACATGTCCTACCCCTCCTCCCTACTTCCTACCAGGTAAGACTGAAGTCAGAGGAACCATGTCCTACCCCTCCTCCCTACTTCCTACCAGGTAAGACTGAAGTCAGAGGAACCATGTCCTACCCCTCCTCCCTACTCTTCCTACAGGTGAACTGAAGTCAGAGGAAAAACCATGTCCTAACCCCTCCTCCCTACTTCCTACCAGGTGAGACTGAAGTCAGAGGAACCATGTCCTACCCCTCCTCCTACTTCCTACCAGGTGAGACTGAGTCAGAGGAACCATGTCCTACCACCCTCCTCCCTAACTTTTCCTACCAGGTGAACTGAAGTCAGAGGAACCATGTCCTACCCCTCCTCCCTACTTCCTACCAGGTGAGACTGAAGTCAGAGGAACCATGTCCTACCCCTCCTCCCTACTTCCTACCAGGTGAGACTGAAGTCAGAGGAACCATGTCCTACCCCTCCTCCCTACTTCCTACCAGGTGAGACTCTACACCCTCCATGCTAGCTATGATATAATTAAGCAATAAGGCCCAAGGGGATGTGGTATATGGCCAATATACCAAGGGATGTATGACTCCATGTTACTGTAATCTTTAGACTAGCACAGGGCTGTATGACTCCATGTTACTGTAATCATTAGACTAGCACAGGGCTGTATGACTCCATGTTACTGTAATCTTTAGACTAGCACAGGGCTGTATGACTCCATGTTACTGTAGTCTTTAGACTAGCACAGGGCTGTATGACTCCATGTTACTGTAGTCTTTAGACTAGCACAGGGCTGTATGACTCCATGTTACTGTAGTCTTTAGACTAGCACAGGGCTGTATGACTCCATGTTACTGTAGTCTTTAGACTAGCACAGGGCTGTATGACTCCATGTTACTGTAGTCTTTAGACTAGCACAGGGCTGTATGACTCCATGTTACTGTAGTCTTTAGACTAGCACAGGGCTGTATGACTCCATGTTACTGTAGTCTTTAGACTAGCACAGGGCTGTATGACTCCATGTTACTGTAGTCTTTAGACTAGCACAGGGCTGTATGACTCCATGTTACTGTAGTCTTTAGACTAGCACAGGGCTGTATGACTCCATGTTATTGTAGTCTTTAGACTAGCACAGGGATGTATGACTCCATGTTACTGTAATCTTTAGACTAGCACAGGGCTGTATGACTCCATGTTACTGTAATCTTTAGACTAGCACAGGGCTGTATGACTCCATGTTACTGTAGTCTTTAGACTAGCACAGGGCTGTATGACTCCATGTTACTGTAGTCTTTAGACTAGCTCAGGGTTTCTTGCACGTCAACATCCGAAGCCTCCTCCCCAAGTTTGAGTTATTCACTGCGAAAGCACACTCTGCCAACCCTGATGTTCTAGCAGTGTCTGAATCCTGGCTTAGGAAGGCCACCAAAAATTCAGAAGTTTCCATCCCGAATTACAACATTTTCCGTCTAGATAGAACTGCCAAAGGGGGTGGAGTTGCAATCTACTGTAGAGATAGCCTGCAGAGCTCTATCGTACTATCCAGGTCTGTGCCCAAACAGTTTGAGCTCTACTTCTAAAAATCCACCTTTCCAGAAATGTCTCACTGTTGCCGCTTGCTACAGACCCCCCTCAGCCCCCAGTTGTGCCCTGGACACCATATGTGAATTGCTTGCCCCCCATCTATCCTCAGAGTTCGTACTGCTTGGTGACCTAAACTGGGATATGCTTAACACCCCGGCCGTCCTACAATCTAAACTAGATGCCCTCAATCTCACACAAATTATCAAGGAACCTACCAGGTACAACCCTAAATCCGTAAACATGGGCACCCTCATTGATATCATCCTGACTAATTTACCCTCTAAATACACCTCCGCTGTCTTCAACCAGGATCTCAGCGATCACTGCCTTATTGCCTGCGTCCGTAATGGGTCCGCGGTCAAACGACCACCCCTCATCACTGTCAAACGCTCCCTAAAACACTTTAGCGAGCAGGCCTTCCTAATTGACCTGGCCCAGGTATCCTGGATGGATATAGATCTCATTCCGTCAGTAGAGGATGCCTGTATGTTCTTCAAAAGTGCTTTCCTCTCCATCTTAAATAAACATGCCCCATTCAAACAATTCTGAACTAAGAACAGATATAGCCCCTGGTTCACCCCAGACTTGACTGCCCTTGACCAGCACAAAAACATCCTGTGGCGTACTGCATTAGCATCGAACAGCCCCCGCGATATGCAACTTTTCAGGGAAGTCAGGAACCAATATACACAATCAGTTAGGAAAGCAAAGGCTAGCTTTTTCAAACAGAAATGTGAATCCTGTAGCACTAACTCCAAAAAGTTTGGGACACTGTAAAGTCCATGTTGAATAAGAGCACCTCCTCCCAGCTGCCCACTGCACAGAGGCTAGGAAACACTATCACCACCGATAAATCTACGATAATCGAGAATTTCAACAACCATTTTGCTACGGCTGGCCATGCTTTCCACCTGGCTACCACTACCCCGGCCACCAGCTCTGCACCCTCCGCTGCAACTTGCCCATGCCCCACTCCCCGCTTCTCCTTCACACAAATTCAGATAGCTGATGTTCTGAAAGAGCTGCAAAATATGGACCCCTACAAATCAGCTGGGCTAGACAATCTGGACCCTTTGTTTCTTAAATTAGCCGCCGAAATTGTCGCAACCCCTATTACTAGCCTGTTCAACCTCTCTTTCGCATCGTCTGAGATCCCCAGAAATTGGAAAGCTGCCGCGGTCATCCCCCTCTTCAAAGGGGGTGACACTCTAGATCCAAACTGTTACAGACCTATATCCATCCTGCCCTGCCTTTCGAAAGTATTTGAAAGCCAAGTTAACAAACAGATCACCGACCATTTTGAATCCCACCGTACCTTCTCCGCTATGCAATCTGGTTTCCGAGCTGGTCATGGGTGCACCTCAGCCACGCTCAAGGTCCTAAACGATATAATAACCGCGATCGATAAAAGACAGTACTGTGCAGCCGTCTTCATCGACCTGGCCAAGGCTTTTGACTCTGTCAATCACCGCATTCTTATTGGCAGACTAAATAGCCTTGGTTTCTCAAATGACGGCCTCGCCTGGTTCACCAACTACTTCTCAGAGTTCAATGTGTCAAATCGGAGGGCCTATTGTCTGGACCTCTGGTAGTCTCTATGGGGGTGCCACAGGGTTCAAATCTCGGGCCGACTATTCTCTTTGTATATCAATGATGTCGCTCATGCTGTTGGTGACTCTTAGATCCACCTCTACGCAGACGACACCATTTTGTATACATTTGGCCCTTCATTGGACACTGTGTTAACAAACCTCCAAACGAGCTTCAATGCCATACAACACTCCTTCCGTAGCCTCCAACTGCTCTTAAACGCTAGTAAAACTAAATGCATGCTCTTCAATCGAATGCTGCTTGCACCCGCCCACCCGACTAGAATCACTACTCTCGGCGGGTCTGACTTAGAATATGTGGACAACTACAAATACCTAGGTGTCTGGTTAGACTGTAAACTCTCCTTCCAGACTCGCATTAAGCATCTCCAAGCCAAAGTTAAATCTAGAATCGGCTTCCTATTTCGCAACAAAGACTCCTTCACTCATGCTGCTAAACATGCCCTCGTAAAACTGACTATCCTACCGACCCTTGACTTCGGCGATGTCATTTACAAAATAGCTTCCAACACTCTACTCAGCAAATCGGATGTAGTCTATCACTTTTTTTGTTTTTTTTGTTTTTGTCACTAACGCCCCATATACTACCTACCATTGTGACCTGTACGCTTTCGTTGGCTGGCCCTTACCACATATTCGTCGCCAAACCCACTGGCTCCAGGTCATCTATAAATCACTTCTAGGTAAATCCCCGCCGTACCTTAGCTCATTGGTCACCATAGCAACACCCACCCGTAGTATGCGTTCCAGCAGGTATATCTCACTGGTCATCCCCAAAGCCAACACCTCCTTTGGCCGCCATTCCTTCCAGTTCTCTGCTGCAAATGACTGGAACGAATTGCAAACATCTCTGAAGCTGGAGACTCTTATCTCCCTCAATAACTTTAAGCGTCAGTTGTCAGAGCAGCTTACCGATCACTGCACCTATACACAGCCCATCTGTAATTAGCCCACCCAACTACCTCATCCCCATATTGTTATTTATTTTGCTAATTTGCACCCCAGTATCTCTATTTGCACATCATCTTCTGCACATCTATCACTCCAGTGTTAATACTAAATTGTAATTATTTTGCACTATGGCCTATTCATTGCCTTACCTCCATAACTTACTACATTTGCACACACTGTATATAGATTTTCTATTGTGTTATTGACTGTACGTTTTGTTTACCCCATATGTAACTCTGTGTTGTTGTTTTTATCGCACTGCTTTGCTTTATCTTGGCCAGGTCGCAGTTGTAAATGAGAACTTGTTCTCAACTGGCTTACCTAGTTAAATAAAGTATATTAAAAGGAGATGACATGAGGATCTATCTCTCTAGTTGTTTCAGTCCAGGGTAAATGAGATGACATGAGGATCTATCCATCTCTCTAGATGTTTCAGTCCAGGGTAAAGGAGATGACATGAGGATCTCTCTCTCTAGTTGTTTCAGTCCAGGGTAAAGGAGATGACATGAGGATCTCTCTCTCTAGTTGTTTCAGTCCAGGGTCCATAAACACACATGCAGACAGCAGGCAGGCAGGGCCGGTTACAGGCGTAAGGACCCAGGCCACTAGGGGGCCCCCAACCCAGAGTTAGAACAGTATAATACACGGTGTACAAGGTGCTATTTGGACATGCAGTTGTGCATCAGCAATGTTTTTCTTGTCTTGTCAGTCACTGACAGTCACTCAATTATCCATGTCAGCTAACCATTTTTGTATTGGTAAATTAGTCTAGCCGACTATCTAGACTTGTAGTAATCGTGGTGGAATGCCGACCGGTCACGCAGGGCACGTGCCCAGAGTGCCCAAAATGTGTAGAACTGCAGGAAATAAGCTTTAAAACTGAATCTCAACCAAATCTCGCTTAGTGACCCCAAAAGACACACGACACACACAGACATCAGACACACACACACACACACACACACACACACATCAGACACACACACACACACACACACACACACACATCAGACACACACACACACACACACCCTTCAGATTGTAGATAGTGATGTATCCTGTGTTGTTGTTGTTAACAGTGGAGAGTGAACAGGGTGATAATGTAAAGATCTACTCTCCCTTCAACCATGGACCCCCTCCTACACCTAAAGATGGCTGCAACTCCATCAGTCACACCCCCCTACCCATACCAGGTTAGTACACACCTACCATACCAGGTTAGTACCCCCCTACCCATACCAGGTTAGTACACACCCCTACCCATACCAGGTTAGTACACCCCCCCACCCACCCATACCAGGTTAGTACGCCCCCCCCCCCCCTACCCATACCAGGTTAGTACACCCCTACCCATACCAGGTTAGTGCACACCCCCCACCTACCCATACCAGGTAAGTACACCCCCCCCCTACCCATACCAGGTTAGTACCCCCCCTACCATACCAGGTTAGTACCCCCCCCTATCATACCAGGTTAGTACCCCCCCTACCATTCCAGGTTAGTACCCCCCCCCCTACCATTCCAGGTTAGTACCCCCACCCCTACCATACCAGGTTAGTACCCCCCCCCCTACCATACCAGGTTAGTACCTCCCCCCCCCCTACCATACCAGATTAGTACCCCCCCCTACCATACCAGGTTAGTACCCCCCCCCCCCCTACCATACCAGGTTAGTACCCCCCCTACCATACCAGGTTAGTACCCCCCCCCTACCATACCAGGTTAGTACACCCCTACCAGGTTAGTGCACACCCCCCACCTACCCATACCAGGTAAGTACACCCCCCCCCCCCTACCCATACCAGGTTAGTACCACCCCTACCATACCAGGTTAGTACCCCCCCCTACCATACCAGGTTCGTAACCCCCCCCTACCATACCAGGTTAGTACCCCCCCCCCACCATACCAGGTTAGTACCCCCCCCCCACCATACCAGGTTAGTACCCCCCCCCCCACCATACCAGGTTAGTACCCCCCCCCCCTACCATACCAGGTTAGTACCCCCCCCCTACCATACCAGGTTAGTACCCCCCCCCCCCCTCTACCATACCAGGTTAGTACCCCCCCCTACCATACCAGGTTAGTACCCCCCCCTACCATACCAGGTTAGTCCCCCCCCCCCCCTCCCCTACCATACCAGGTTAGTACCCCCCCTACCATTCCAGGTTAGTACCCCCCCCACCACACTAGGTTAGTACACACCCCCTACCATACCAGGTTAGTACCCCCCCTACCATACCATACCAGGTTAGCCCCCCCCAGACAGAAGCTTGGGTCTAACCCTAACCCCTTATCTAACCCCCTTGTCCTCTCAGGTGGTGCTAGACCCCCCCCAGACAGAAGCTTGGGTCTAACCCTAACCCCTTATCTAACCCCCTTGTCCTCTCAGGTGGTGCTAGCCCCCCCCAGACAGAAGTTTGGGTCTAACCCTAACCCTTATCTAACCCCCTTTGTTCCTCTCAGGTGGTGGCTAGCCCCCCCCAGACAGAAGTTTGGTCTAACCCCTAACCCTTATCTAACCCCCTTGTCCTCTCAGGTGGTGCTAGCCCCCCCCAGACAGAAGTTTGGGTCTAACCCTAACCCCTTATCTAATCCCCTTGTCCTCTCAGGTGGTGCTAGCGCCCCCAGACAGTGGCTTGTCCAGCACTATGAGTCAAAGCTGAGGGATTCTCCTGGTCTCATCAGATGTCCTTCCTGTCAGAGCCAGGTGATGAGTGACGTAACGCACCACGCTGGAACCTTCTCCTGGACCATGTGTCTGGTCTTCATCCTCTGTGGGTGAGGACAGAGACACACACACACACCACACACACACACACACACACACACGCCATCTCACCTATACACACACCCCAGCAGTAACGGGTATATTGACTGTTCTCCTCTGTCTATATACACACCCCAGCAGTAACAGGTATATTGACTGTTCTCCTCTGTCTATATACACACCCCAGCAGTAACAGGTATATTGACTGTTCTCCTCTGTCTATACACACACCCCAGCAGTAACAGGTATATTGACTGTTCTCCTCTGTCTATACACACCCCAGCAGTAACAGGTATATTGACTGTTCTCCTCTGTCTATACACACACCCCAGCAGTAACAGGTATATTGACTGTTCTCCTCTGTCTATATACACACCCCAGCAGTAACAGGTATATTGGACTGTTCTCCTCTGTCTATATACACACCCCAGCAGTAACAGGTATATTGACTGTTCTCCTCTGTCTATATACACACCCCAGCAGTAACAGGTATATTGACTGTTCTCCTCTGTCTATATACACACCCCAGCAGTAACAGGTATATTGACTGTTCTCCTCTGTCTATATACACACCCCAGCAGTAACTGGTATATTGACTGTTCTCCTCTGTCTATATACACACCCCAGCAGTAACAGGTATATTGACTGTTCTCCTCTGTCTATATACACACCCCAGCAGTAACAGGTATATTGACTGTTCTCCTCTGTCTATATACACACCCCAGCAGTAACAGGTATATTGACTGTTCTCCTCTGTCTATATACACACCCCAGCAGTAACAGGTATATTGACTGTTCTCCTCTGTCTATATACACACCCCAGCAGTAACAGGTATATTGACTGTTCTCCTCTGTCTATATACACACCCCAGCAGTAACAGGTATATTGACTGTTCTCCTCTGTCTATATACACACCCCAGCAGTAACAGGTATATTGACTGTTCTCCTCTGTCTATATACACACCCCAGCAGTAACAGGTATATTGACTGTTCTCCTCTGTCTATATACACACCCCAGCAGTAACAGGTATATTGACTGTTCTCCTCTGTCTATATACACACCCCAGCAGTAACAGGTATATTACTGTTCTCTCTGTCTATATACACACCCCAGCAGTAACAGGTATATTGACTGTTCTCCTCTGTCTATACACACCCCAGCAGTAACAGGTATATTGACTGTTCTCCTCTGTCTATATACACACCCCAGCAGTAACAGGTATATTGACTGTTCTCCTCTGTCTATACACACACCCCAGCAGTAACAGGTATATTGACTGTTCTCCTCTGTCTATATACACACCCCAGCAGTAACAGGTATATTGACTGTTCTCTCTGTCTATATACACACCCCAGCAGTAACAGGTATATTGACTGTTCTCCTCTGTCCCTCCAGGTTATTCCTAGGCTGCTGTCTGATCCCGTTTTTCCTCAGGAATTTCAAGGACGCCTATCACACCTGCCCTCGCTGTCACATGGTCCTTCACATCCACAGGAAGAGCTGCTGCCCCACGACCTCTGACCCCTCCTCCCTGACCTCCTGCCTAGGGTCAGGGCACCCCTATCAAGCCTGATGTGTGGTGGGGTGGGGGCTTGAATCATATAGTCTCTATAGCACCGCCTGTTGGTGTCTGAGACGGGGCTCGTATCATATAGTTAATAACCACCTGTTGGTGTCTGACAGGGCTCGTATCATATAGTCTCTATAGCACCACCTGTTGGTGTCTGAGACAGGGCTCGTATCATATAGTTAATAACCACCTGTTGGTGTCTGAGACAGGGCTCGTATCATATAGTCTCTATAGCACCACCTGTTGGTGTCTGAGACAGGGCTCGTATCATATAGTTAATAACCACCTGTTGGTGTCTGAGACAGGGCTCGTATCATATAGTTAATAACCACCTGTTGGTGTCTGAGACAGGGCTCGTATCATATAGTCTCTATAGCACCACCTGTTGGTGTCTGAGACAGGGCTCGTATCATATAGTTAATAACCACCTGTTGGTGTCTGAGGCAGGGCTTGTATCATATAGTCTCTATAGCACCACCTGTTGGTGTCTGAGGCAGGGCTCGTATCATATAGTCTCTATAGCACCGCCTGTTGATGTCTGAGACAGGGCTTGTATCATATAGTCTCTATAGCACCGCCTGTTGGTGTCTGAGACAGGGCTTGTGTCATATAGTCTCTATAGCACCGCCTGTTGGTGTCTGAAGCAGGGCTTGTGTCATATAGTCTCTATAGCACTGCCTGTTGGTGTCTGAGGCAGGGCTTGTATCATATAGTCTCTATAGCACCGCCTGTTGATGTCTGAGACAGGGCTTGTATCATATAGTCTCTATAGCACCGCCTGTTGGTGTCTGAGGCAGGGCTTGTATCATATAGTTAATAACCACCTGTTGGTGTCTGAGGCAGGGCTTGTATCATATAGTCTCTATAGCACCGCCTGTTGGTGTCTGAGGCAGGGCTTGTATCATCTAGTCTCTATAGCACCGCCTGTTGGTGTCTGAAGCAGGGCTCGTATCATCTAGTCTCTATAGCACCGCCTGTTGGTGTCTGAGGCAGGGCTTGTATCATATAGTCTCTATAGCACCACCTGTTGGTGTCTGAAGCAGGGCTCGTATCATCTAGTCTCTATAGCTCCGCCTGTTGGTGTCTGAGGCAGGGCTTGTCTCGTATAGTCTCTATAGCACCACCTGTTGGTGTCTGAAACAGGGCTCGTATCATCTAGTCTCTATAGCACCGCCTGTGTCTGATTTGTGATGTTACCTTTTAAACAATGTCTGTCAACCTGTTCTGTAAAGACTTAAAATAATAAATAATGCTTTTTAACATTTACCTGTTGAGCTTTGTGTTATTTGGAAAAACTGTTCAAAATGATGAATATATATATATATACATACACACACACAGTGGGGAAAAAAGTATTTAGTCAGCCACCAATTGTGCAAGTTCTCCCACTTAAAAAGATGAGAGAGGCCTGTAATTTTCATCATAGGTACACGTCAACTATGACAGACAAAATGAGAAAAAAAAATCCAGAAAATCACATTGTAGGATTTGTAATGAATTTATTTGCAAATTATGGTGGAAAATAAGTATTTGGTCAATAACAAAAGTTTCTCAATACTTTGTTTTATACCCTTTGTTGGCAATGACACAGGTCAAACGTTTTCTGTAAGTCTTCACAAGGTTTTCACACACTGTTGCTGGTATTTTGGCCCATTCCTCCATGCAGATCTCCTCTAGAGCAGTGATATTTTGGGGCTGTCGCTGGGCAACACAGACTTTCAACTCCCTCCAAAGATTTTCTATGGGGTTGAGATCTGGAGACTAGGCTAGGCCACTCCAGGACCTTGAAATGCTTCTTACGAAGCCACTCCTTCGTTGCCCGGGCGGTGTGTTTGGGATCATTGTCATGCTGAAAGACCCAGCCACGTTTCATCTTCAATGCCCTTGCTGATGGAAGGAGGTTTTCACTCAAAATCTCACGATACATGGCCCCATTCATTTTGTCCTTTACACGGATCAGTTGTCCTGGTCCCTTTGCAGAAAAACAGCCCCAAAGCATGATGTTTCCACCCCCATGCTTCACAGTAGGTATGGTGTTCTTTGGATGCAACTCAGCATTCTTTGTCCTCCAAACACGACGAGTTGAGTTTTTACCAAAAAGTTATATTTTGGTTTCATCTGACCATATGACATTCTCCCAATCCTCTTCTGGATCATCCAAATGCACTCTAGCAAACTTCAGATGGGCCTGGACATGTACTGGCTTAAGCAGGGGGACACGTCTGGCACTGCAGGATTTGAGTCCCTGGCGGCGTAGTGTGTTACTGATGGTAGGCTTTGTTTCTTTGGTCCCAGCTCTATGCAGAACATTCACTAGGTCCCCCCGTGTGGTTCTGGGATTTTTGCTCACCGTTCTTGTGATCATTTTGACCCCACAGGGTGAGATCTTGCGTGGAGCCCCAGATCGAGGGAGATTATCAGTGGTCTTGTATGTCTTCCATTTCCTAATAATTGCTCCCACAGTTGATTTCTTCAAACCAAGCTGCTTACCTATTGCAGATTCAGTCTTCCCAGCCTGGTGCAGGTCTACAATTTTGTTTCTGGTGTCCTTTGACAGCTCTTTGGTCTTGGCCATAGTGGAGTTTGGAGTGTGACTGTTTGAGGTTGTGGACAGGTGTCTTTTTATACTGATAACAAGTTCAAACAGGTGCCATTAATACAGGTAACGAGTGGTGGACAGAGGAGCCTCTTAAAGAAGAAGTTACAGGTCTGTGAGAGCCAGAAATCTTGCTTGTTTGTAGGTGACCAAATACTTATTTTCCACCATAATTTGCAAATAAATTCATTAAAAATCCTACAATGTGATTTTCTGGAAATGTTTTTCTCAATTTGTCTGTCATAGTTGACGTGTACCTATGATGAAAATTACAGGCCTCTCTCATCTTTTTAAGTGGGAGAACTTGCACAATTGGTGGCTGACTAAATACTTTTTCTCCCCACTGTGTGTGTGTGTGTATATATACAGTGGGGAGAACAAGTATTTGATACACTGCCGATTTTGCAGGTTTTCCTACTTACAAAGCATGTAGAGGTCTGTAATTTTTATCATAGGTACACTTCAACTGTGAGAGACGGAATCTAAAACAAAAATCCAGAAAATCCCATTGTATGATTTTTAAGTAATTCATTTGCATTTTATTGAATGACATAAGTATTTGATCACCTACCCACCAGTAAGAATTCCGGCTCTCACAGACCTGTTAGTTTTTCTTTAAGAAGCCCTCCTGTTCTCCACTCATTACCTGTATTAACTGCACCTGTTTGAACTCGTTACCTGTATAAAAGACACCTGTCCACACACTCAATCAAACAGACTCCAACCTCTCCACAATGGCCAAGAACAGAGAGCTGTGTAAGGACATCAGGGATAAAATTGTAGACCTGCACAAGGCTGGGATGGGCTACAGGACAATAGGCAAGCAGCTTGGTGAGAAGGCAACAACTGTTGGCGCAATTATTAGAAAATGGAAGAAGTTCAAGATGACGGTCAATCACCCTCGGTCTGGGGCTCCATGCAAGATGTCTCCTCATGGGGCATCAATGATCATAAGGAAGGTGAGGGATCAGCCCAGAACTACATGGCAGGACCTGGTCAATGACCTGAAGAGAGCTGGGACCACAGTCTCAAAGAAAACCATTAGTAACACACTACGCCGTCATGGATTAAAATCCTGCAGCGCACGCAATGTCCCCCTGCTCAAGCCAGCGCATGTCCAGGCCCGTCTGAAGTTTGCCAATGACCATCTGGATGATCCAGAGGAGGAATGGGAGAAGGTCATGTGGTCTGATGAGACAAAAATATAGCTTTTTGGTCTAAACTCCACTCGCCGTGTTTGGAGGAAGAAGAAGGATGAGTACAACCCCAAGAACACCATCCCAACCTTGAAGCATGGAGGTGGAAACATCATTCTTTGGGGATGCTTTTCTGCAAAGGGGACAGGACGACTGCACCGAATTGAGGGGAGGATGGATGGGGCCATGTATCACGAGATCTTGGCCAACAACCTCCTTCCCTCAGTAAGAGCATTGATGATGTGTCGTGGCTGGGTCTTCCAGCATGACAACGACCCGAAACACACAGCCAGGGCAACTAAGGAGTGGCTCCGTAAGAAGCATCTCAAGGTCCTGGAGTGGCCTAGCCAGTCTCCAGACCTGAACCCTATAGAAAATCTTTGGAGGGAGCTGAAAGTCTGTGTTGCCCAGCGACAGCCCCGAAACCTGAAGGATCTGGAGAAGGTCTGTATGGAGGAGTGGGCCAAAATCCCTGCTGCAGTGTGTGCAAACCTGGTCAAGACCTACAGGAAACGTATGATCTCTGTAATTGCAAACAAAGGTTTCTGTACCAAATATTAAGTTCTGCTTTTTCTGATGTATCAAATACTTATGTCATGCAATAAAATGCAAATTAATTACTTAAAAATCGTACAATGTGATTTGATCAAAATTACAGACCTCTACATGCTTTGTAAATAGGAAAACCTGCAAAATCGGCAGTGTATCAAATACTTGTTCTCCCCACTGTGTGTATATACGTCTACACTATAGAGCAGTGTCCTGTCATGTCACACCTCTGAAATGTCTTCTCATAACACTGACTCATAGGTACCTTTAGCCTGGGGTGGAGTCATTAGTCGCACACAGTAGCAGAAGGTTTGCAACAGAAACTGTCTACTACAAACGGAAAATGTTTTGGAATAAAAACAAGAGTTTCTTTTGGACAAAAATAAAGTTCTGTTTGATTCTGTTTCCCTCTGGTTCTGTTTGGTTCTGTTTTCCTCTGGTTCTTTTTGGTTCTGTTTGACTCTGGTTCTGTTTGGTTCTGTTTGCCTTTGGTTCTGTTTGGTTCTGTTTTCCTCTGGTTCTGTTTGGTTCTGTTTTCCTCTGGTTCGGTTTGGTTCTGTTTTCCTCTGGTTCTGTTTGGTTCTGTTTGCCTCTGGTTGTGTTTGGATCTGTTTTCCTCTGGTTCTTTTTGGTTCTGTTTGGTTCTGTTTGACTTTGGTTCTGTTTGCCTCTGGTTCTGTTTGGTTCTGTTTTCCTCTGGTTCTGTTTTGGTTCTGTTTACCTCTGGTTCTGTTTGGTTCTGTTTGGTTCTTAGTGAATACACTACACCTGTCTTAGCAGTGCTGTTAGGCCTAGAAGTGAAAAAGCAGTGGAATTGGCTTCAAAGTCCAGATTTGAATTTGACCTGGAAGCCAGTTTCACTGCTTAGCCATCACTAGTCTAGATCAGTGGTTTCAACATGTTTTGGTTCCTGTACCACCAAGTACAGTTTGCTCTGCACGAAATACCCCTGAAGCACCCTATAGGCCTGCCTGTTCTGTTGACACTGCCTGGGGGATTGACCCTGCTAGGAGTGCCCCTTGAGGAGTAGTGTTTTAAATCATCATGATAGATTAATGTTATAGAATAATATATAGTAGATGATCTGGAGAGTGATCCTCCGTAGTGATAAACAACAGATGATCTGGAGAGTGATACTCCGTAGTGATAAACATCAGATGATCTGGAGAGTGATACTCCATAGTGATAAACAACAGATGATGTGGAGAGTGATACTCCATAGTGTTAAACAACAGATGATCTGGAGAGTGATACTCCATAGTGATAAACAACAGATGATGTGGAGAGTGATACTCCATAGTGTTAAACAACAGATGATCTGGAGAGTGATACTCCATAGTGATAAACAACAGATGATGTGGAGAGTGATACTCCGTAGTGATAAACAACAGATGATCTGGAGAGTGATACTCCATAGTGATAAACAACAGATGATGTGGAGAGTGATACTCCATAGTGTTAAACAACAGATGATCTGGAGAGTGATACTCCATAGTGATAAGCGTTAAACAACAGATGATCTGGAGAGTGATACTCCATAGCGTTAAACAACAGATGATCTGGAGAGTGATCCTCCATAGTGATAAACAACAGATGATCTGGAGAGTGATCCTCCATAGTGATAAACAACAGATGATCTGGAGAGTGATCCTCCGTAGTGATAAACAACAGATGATCTGGAGAGTGATACTCCGTAGTGATAAGCGTTAAACAACAGATGATCTGGAGAGTGATACTCCATAGTGTTAAACAACAGATTATCTGGAGAGTGATACTCCATAGTGATAAACAACAGATGATCTGGAGAGTGATACTCCGTAGTGATAAACAACAGATGATCTGGAGAGTGATACTCCGTAGTGATAAACTACAGATGATCTGGAGAGTGATACTCCATAATGATAAACAACAGATGATCTGGAGAGTGATCCTCCATAGTGATAAGCGTTAAACAACAGATGATCTGGAGAGTGATACTCCATAGTGATAAACAACAGATGATCTGGAGAGTGATACTCCATAGTGATAAACAACAGATGATCTGGAGAATGATACTCCATAATGATAAACAACAGATGATCTGGAGAGTGATACTCCGTAGTGATAAACAACAGATGATCTGGAGAGTGATACTCCGTAGTGATAAACAACAGATGATCTGGAGAGTGATACTCCATAATGATAAACAACAGATGATCTGGAGAGTGATACTCCGTAGTGATAAGCGTTAAACAACAGATGATCTGGAGAGTGATACTCCATAGCGTTAAACAACAGATGATCTGGAGAGTGATACTCCGTAGTGATAAACAACAGATGATCTGGAGAGTGATACTCCGTAGTGATAAACTACAGATGATCTGGAGAGTGATCCTCCATAGTGATAAACAACAGATGATCTGGAGAGTGATACTCCATAATGATAAACAACAAAGATGATATGGAGAGTTGATACTCCCTAGTGATAAACAACAGATGATCTGGAGAGTGATACTCCGTAATGATAAACAACAGATGATCTGGAGAGTGATACTCCATAATGATAAACAACAGATGATCTGGAGAGTGATACTCCGTAGTGATAAACAACAGATGAGTGTGCGTCCCAATTGGCACCCTATTCCCTATTTAGGGCACTACTTTAGACCAGAGAATGGCACCCTATTCTCTATATAGTGCACTACTTTAGACCAGAGAATGGCACCCTATTCCCTATATAGTGCACTACTTTAGACCAGAGAATGGCACCCTATTCCCTATATAGTGCACTACTTTAGACCAGAGAATGGCACCCTATTCCCTATATAGTGCACTACTTTAGACCAGAGAATGGCGCCCTATTCCCTATATAGTGCACTACTTTAGACCAGAGAATGGCACCCTATTCCCTATATAGGGCACTACTTTAGACCAGAGAATGGCACCCTATTCCCTATATAGTGCACTACTTTTGACCAGAGAATGGCACCCTGTTCCCTATATAGGGCACTACTTTAGACCAGAGAATGGCACCCTATTCCCTATATAGGGCACTACTTTAGACCAGAGAATGGCACCCTATTCCCTATATAGGGCACTACTTTAGACCAGAGAATGGCACCCTATTCCCTATATAGTGCACTACTTTAGACCAGAGAATGGCACCCTATTCCCTATATAGGGCACTACTTTAGACCAGAGAATGGCACCCTATTCCCTATATAGTGCACTACTTTAGACCAGAGAATGGCACCCTATTCCCTATATAGGGCACTACTTTAGACCAGAGAATGGCACCCTATTCCCTATATAGTGCACTACTTTAGACCAGAGAATGGCACCCTATTCCCTATATAGTGCACTACTTTCTGCCAGAGTTCTATGTGCGCTGTATAGGGGATAGGGTGCCATTGCAGACGTTGGCCTGACTGTTGACTGGGGGGAAAAGAGCTATTTTAGTCCCTTTATCCTTTAATTGAATCTTTACCTCTCCACCACGTGAGGCAGGCAAACATGGATTACACGTGTGAGTGAGTGTCTCTCTCCTCCTCTCTCTCCTCTCTCTCCCCCCTCCTCTCTCTCCTCCTCTCTCTCCTCTCTCTCCCCCCTCCTCTCTCTCACCTCCATTTGAAGCTACTGGAATATCTCTCCTCCTCTCTCTCTCCTCCTCTCGCTCCTCCTCTCTCTCCTCCTCCTCTCTCTTCACCTCCTCTTATCATCATCCCTTTGATCCTCCTCCTCTAGCGGCAAAAGGTATTACACCCCTTTGATTCTTCTCTCCCTCTCTCTCTCTCTCTCTCCCCACCTTTTGACTGCTGGAGTCACTGGTCAGTCATTCTATGGATCAGTCATTTATGAGACACAGGAATAGTCTTCTAACCTCTTCCTCTGTTTATTTCCTTGTAGTCATTGTAGTAGGGATGTTCTCTTTGTTTGTCGTAGTCATGGCTGTAGTTATGTGTGTGCTCCGGTCCTCAGGGTTTGTCCACCCTCTACATATCGTAGATGAACCAGCTGTCCTGGCGTGTCTGGCTCCTCTTTCCACCCTCATTTGAGTGCCTGGAGCAAATGGTCCAGCTTCTATGGTCAGGTCATTCTATGGACCGAGAGTCATGCCCTTTCCCCGTTGTGTGGTCGTCAGTGTACTCTCGGTCATCGTGTGTTGTGCGTGATGTCATTGTGTGTATGTGTATGCTGTGTGTTCGGGATTGTCCACCGCCACACCCTCTCAGAAAAGGTAAGAAGCAGAGGGTCCTGCGGTTGCTTACCACTGCAGTGGTGCTGATAACGGTTCCGTGAGGTGCCTGTGCTCATCACACTCCGGTGGGCCCCTACCTCTCGGTCACCACCCTCGTCCACTCCTCTTTCCTTCTTCTCTCTCTGTTCTTGCCATCCTCCTCGTCTGTTCACGTACAGTTCGCTTCTCTTGGTCATCTCACCCTCGTCCCCTCTCCTCCTCCATCTCTCCTCCTCTTCCGTCTTCTCTCTCCTCCTCACGGACGCGGGTTCACAAGGTCAGTCATAACGTAGAGCCGTCACCCCGTTCTACTGGACACGAGGCATTCAAACCTGCCGTTCGTGGCGCTAGGCAGTGTGCCATCGCTGCTACTGCCCCCTCAGGGGAGAGGTGATGCCATGCTCATGATGGTGTTGTTAATGGGATGTTGTAGGCAACTACAGAAGACGTAAAGTGAAGATCTGCTTTCTGGCTTATTTCTGTGTAGGTGCACTGTCGTCCGGTTAGGGCTGGAGCAGGCAGGAGCACCCGTGGCTCCGTCAACCTCCGGTAACCGTCGTCACAGCTCCTCTTGTCGTACATGTCACTTCTCCGTTGTCTCTGTATTGCTTTCCTCCGTGTGTTCAGGTAAACAGTTCCTGTCTAGCTCCGGGGTCAGAGTTGACCCCTGGTTTACCGTCAAATCTCCACCCCAATCGTCGTTACTCTCCTCCAGGTCACAGGGAGAACAGTTCACCACGGACGTCGTGCCAGCCGAGCCGCAATGGGACTAGGAACAGGAGAGCCGTAGGACCAGAGCCCCGCAGGAGGGGACTAAACAGGCAGTGAGAAGATCCGAGCCAGCAGGATGCTAGAACAGGAAGCAGTGAGAAGCTCACGAGCCAGCAGATGGCCCCTATAACAGGAAGCAGTGAGATGCTCGAGCCAGCGATTGGGGCTAAACAGAAGCAGTGAATAGCTCGAGCCAGCAGTATGGGAAGCTAGAACAGGAGGGCAGTGAGAGTCCGACCAGAGGATGGGGACTAGAACACTGGAAGCGTGAGAAGCTCCGACCAGCAGGATGGGACTGAACAGGGAAGCACGTGGAGAAGCATTCCGAGCCAGCAGGATGGGGACTAGAACAGGAAGCAGTGAGAAGCTCCGAGCCAGCAGGATGGGGACTAGAACAGGAAGCAGTGAGAAGCTCCGAGCCAGCAGGATGGGGACTAGAACAGGAAGCAGTGAGAAGCTCCGAGCCAGCAGGATGGGCACTAGAACAGGAAGCAGCGCCCTGGTGGAACCCCGACTCGGAAGCTCCAACAGCAACATTACCGTTCCCAGACGGACTCCGGTAACGTCGCGCCGAGGGAATACTGTAAACATCGGTACTACCGGCTCACTGGACAGCAGTAGAAGCGGTAGTAACGGTGTTAGAGCAGGTCATGTTAATGGGGGCATTAGCCACCTGGTGAAGATATCGCTACTTAATGATCGTTATAAATACGAGGAGGAGGAGGACGGATGGATGGACCAGAGGACAGCCATGAAGTGTACTGAGTGGCTGAGAGGACTGGAGACCGCTACGGGTCAGAGGTCAGGAGTTAGAGGTCAGGAGTTAGAGGTCAGGAGTTAGAGGTCAGGTGTTAGAGGTCAGGAGTTAGAGGTCAGAGGTCAGGAGTTAGAGGTCAGGAGTTAGAGGTCAGAGGTCAGGAGTTAGAGGTCAGGAGTTAGAGGTCAGAGGGCAGGTGTTAGAGGTCAGGGGGCAGGTGTTAGAGGTCAGGGGGCAGGTGTTAGAGGTCAGAGGGCAGGTGTTAGAGGTCAGAGGTCAGGAGTTAGAGGTCAGGAGTTAGAGGTCAGGAGTTAGAGGTCAGGATTTAGAGGTCAGAGGGCAGGTGTTAGAGGTCAGGAGTTAGAGTCAGAGGGCAGGTGTTAGAGGTCAGGAGTTAGAGGTCAGAGGGCAGGAGTTAGTCAGAGGTCAGGATTAGAGGTCAGGAGTTTTTTAGAGGTCAGAGGGCAGGTGTTAGAGGTCAGGTTAGAGGTCAGAGGGCAGGTGTTAGAGGTCAGGAGTTAGAGGTCAGAGGTCAGGAGTCAGAGGTCAGGAGTTAGAGGTCAGGAGTTAGAGGTCAGAGGTCAGGAGTCAGAGGTCAGGTGTTAGAGGTCAGGAGTTAGAGGTCAGGAGTTGAGGTCAGGAGTTAGAGGTCAGAGGGCAGGTGTTAGAGGTCAGTGTTAAGGTCAGAGTTAGGAGGCTGGTTAGAGGTCTAGAGGTCTAGTGTGAGGTCAGGGTTAGATGGTTACGTCAGATTAGGGTCGGTGCGAGGTGTTAGTAGAGGTCAGGTTACGTGTCGGGGCATGTTAGAGGTCGTTAAGGTCAGTTTTGGGAAGAGGATAGCTTTGATATTGTGTGTGAACTGTCGATTGAATGTTTTGGGGACCACTGCAGTCCACATCGTTGGAAACCTACAGTGGTGTCTGGGGCTGTTTAGATGGTCTACCTGTCTACCTGTGTCTGGGGCTGTTTAGATGGTCTACCTGTCTACCTGTGTCTGGGGCTGTTTAGATGGTCTACCTGTCTACCTGTGTCTGGGGCTGTTTAGATGGTCTACCTGTGTCTGGGGCTGTTTAGATGGTTCCTTCTACCTGTGTCTGGGCTGTTTAGATGGTCTCCTGTCTACCTGTGTCTGGGGCTGTTTAGATGGTCTACCTGTCTACCTGTGTCTGGGGCTGTTTAGATGGTCTACCTTTCTACCTGTGTCTGGGGCTGTTTAGATGGTCTACCTGTGTCTGGGGCTGTTTAGATGGTCTACCTGTCTACCTGTGTCTGTGGCTGTTTAGATGGTCTACCTGTCTACCTGTCTGGGGCTGTTTAGATGGTCTCCCTGTCTACCTGTGTCTGGGGCTGTTTAGATGGTCTACCTGTGTCTGTCTGGGGCTGTTTAGATGGTCTACCTGTCTACCTGTGTCTGTCTGGGGCTGTTTAGATGGTCTACCTGTCTACCTGTGTCTGGGGCTGTTTAGATGGTCTACCTGTCTACCTGTGTCTGGGGCTGTTTAGATGGTCTACCTGTCTACCTGTGTCTGTCTGGGGCTGTTTAGATGGTCTACCTGTCTACCTGTGTCTGGGGCTGTTTAGATGGTCTACCTGTCTACCTGTGTCTGGGCTGTTTAGATGGTCTACCTGTCTACCTGTGTCTTGGGGCTGTTTAGATGGTCTACCTGTCTACCTGTGTTCTGGGGTCTGTTTAGATGGTCTACCTGTCTACCTGTGTCTGTCTGGGGCTGTTTAGATGGTCTACCTGTCTACCTGTGTCTGGGGCTTCCTGTTCTTTTTCACATCTTCAGGTTTTTCATTTTTGAAAAATTGCGCTTTAGATTTAACAAATCACAAACTCATATCTTTAAAATCTATTTGGCTAAGATCGTTCTCTTCCGAACTAATGTTTATTAATGTTATGCTAAATGTATTTGATGACTTTTTAAAGAATTAAACTCCAAAACAATAAGGACAGAGTCTTACTGTTATCAGTCCTGTCACCTAGAGGGTGCTGTGATCTCTCACTTTCTCCCGGTAAGAGGTATCAAGGCAGTTTGGAGAGTCAACAGTTGACAGGTGCAGTCTCCCGGTAAGGTGTATCAAGGCAGTTTGGAGAGTCAACAGTTGACAGGTCCAGTCTCCCGGTAAGGGGTATCAAGGCAGTTTGGAGAGTCAACAGTTGACGGGTCCAGTCTCCCGGTAAGAGGTATCAAGGCAGTTTGGAGAGTCAACAGTTGACGGGTCCAGTCTCCCGGTAAGAGGTATCAAGGCAGTTTGGAGAGTCAACAGTTGACAGGTACAGTCTCCCGGTAAGGGGTATCAAGGCAGTTTGGAGAGTCAACAGTTGACAGGTACAGTCTCCCGGTAAGGGGTATCAAGGCAGTTTGGAGAGTCAACAGTTGAACGGGTCCAGTCTCTCCCGGTAAGAGGTATCAAGGCAGTTTGGAGAGTCAACAGTTGACGGGTCCAGTCTCCCGGTAAGAGGTATCAAGGCAGTTTGGAGAGTAAACAGTTGACAGGTCCAGTCTCCCGGTAAGAGGTATCAAGGCAGTTTGGAGAGTCAACAGTTGACAGGTCCAGTCTCCCGGTAAGAGGTATCAAGGCAGTTTGGAGAGTCAACAGTTGACAGGTCCAGTCTCCCGGTAAGAGGTATCAAGGCAGTTTGGAGAGTCAACAGTTGGCGGGTCCAGTCTCCCGGTAAGCGGTATCAAGGCAGTTTGGAGAGTCAACAGTTTGGCGGGTCCAGTCTCCCGGTAAGCGGTATCAAGGCAGTTTGGAGCCGGGTTCAGTGGAGGGTGTATCCTCTCGTTAATCAGCTTAGTGACGACTCATCCTATTACCGGTCAACTGAACCTCTCACCAGGAGCATGTGTGTGTGTG